TGTTCCTTCATTGCGAATGAAGGAATCGACTTCTGGAGGAAGAAAGGGTTGAAGGGGGTGGTTTTTAAGGTGGATTTTAAGAGAGCATATGATTCAGTTGATTGGTTGATTTGTTGAAAATTTTGGGTAAAATGGGGTTTGGCGAAAATGGCGTTCTTGGATGTTTCAGTGTATGTCAACTGCTTCTGTTTCTGTTTTACTGAATGGGACTCCTACTGAGAAAATTCATACAAAAAGAGGTCTTAGACAGGGATGTTCGCTATCACCCTTGTTATTTAATTTGGATGGTGAATTGCTTCATTTGATGTTAACTAAAGCAGTGGATTTGGGACTGTTTTTGGGTTTTGAGTTGGGAGCTCAAGATCGTTTATTCAAGCTCGCACCTACAATTTGCGGATGACCTTATTATCTTTTCAAAGGCTTCAATTCGGGATTTGAAGAATGTTAGAAGGGTGCTTCTGATTTACGAGCTATTGGTGGGGTTGAAGATTAATCTAGTCAAGAGCAAAATTTACGGAATCAATATTGAGGGATGTGCTTGTTGACTGGTCTAAGGAAATTGGTTGTTCAGTGGGTAAGTTTCCAGCAGATTATTTAGGCCTGCCTCTGGGGTCTAGGAGAAATTCTGTTGCAATGTGGGAGCCAATAGTGCAGAATTTTATAATAGATTGTCTGGCTGGAAGGTGAATTCTCTAGCATTAGCAGGGAGGGTGGTGTTGATCAAATCTGTTTTGTGCTCTCTTCCCACTTATTTCCTTTCTTTATTTCGAATTCCAGTTTCGGTGCTGCAAAAATTAAATTCTATAATGGCTGCATTTTTATGGAGGGTCGACTGATAAAAGGAACATACATTGGGTGAATTGGGGTTTGGTCAGCAAGCCGAGAAGGTTGAGGGGCCTAGGGATCCCGAACTTAGCTATTCTGAATAGAGCATTGTTGGGTAAATGGGTTTGGAAGTTTGCCTCTGAAAAGGATTCTTGGTGGAAGAGAGTAGTCTGTTGTGTGAATAATTTTGGACCTGAACTCCAAAAAGGTAGAGAGTTCTTTGACTGCTCGTGCCTCTTGGATTTGGAGAGGAGTGATCAATAACTTCTTTTCCAATGATGGATTTGGTGTCTGCATTAGGAGTAATTGAGGTGGAAAACTGGAAATGGCCATTCTGTGGTATTTTGGAATGATGCTTGGTTGGGAGAAGTCCCCTCAAAGATTTGTTCCCTAGATTGTACACTCTTTCGACAAATAAAGAGGGGAAAGTAGTGGAATTTAGGGAGAGTCTTGCTGCAGGCTGGGTGTGGGATATTCAATTCAGAAGAAATCTGGTGGATTGAGAGATTGATCAATGGTTGCATCTGATTTTTATGCTGAATAACACCTTTTTGTCTCATGATGAGGAAGATTGTTGGATTTGGTTTGGGAATGGAGAGGGCTGCTTCTCTACTAATTCATGTATCAAGAGTTTCTTTGACTCGGATGGTATTGAGGGGAATCAGATTTTTGGGACAGAAATATTTGGGTAGGGATAGCACCTCCTCGTGTTGAAACCTTCTTATGGCAAGTAGTTCATCTGAGAGTGGCGGTTAAGGAGGAATTGTTAAAGCGTGGAGTGGCTGGAATTGAAGATTCCTTATGTCCGTTGTGTGGCAGATTTGGGTGAATCTGTTTCCCATCTTTTTCTGCATTGTGAGGTTGCTTGGGACTGTGGGTCAGATTTTTGAATTTGTGGGATGTTGCTTGGGTGATTCCTAATAAACCCTTAGATTGCATCACTCAGTGGGACGAGCTTCTTCCGAATTCTAGTATTTGGAAATTCATTCCAAGGGCAGTCTTGTGGGACGGTTTGGAAAATTAGGAATGAAGTTATTTTTAAGAAAGGGAAGTTGGATGTGGTGGTGTTGTTCTTTATTGCTCGTTTTAGAATTTCTTGGTTTGCTGGTTTTGATACGCAGATTCCTTTCGATTCCCTTGTGGGTGATCTAACACTTGCTGATTCAATGGTTAGTCACAAAGTAAGATCCAAGCCTTCGTGCTGGGTTCCTCCTCCAGTTGGGTTCATAAAGATTAATGTTGTTGGAGCAATGGTGAAGGGGTGGAACAAAGGAGGTATAGGAGGCCTGATTAGGGACAGCAGTGGTAAGTTGATTCATTGGTTTTCTGAAAATGTTGGGGGAGGTCCCCCGATTATGGCAGAACTTCTGGCGATTAAGAGGGGGTTGTGTTTGCTTATTGATTCAGGTGGGGTTCTTAATCAGAGGATTATTTTAGAATCAGATTCTACTAACGCCCTGAAGTGGATCAAAAATCCGGAATTAAGCACTCCTTTATTCCAATCATTGGTGAAGGAGATAGTCTCTACTATGGAAGGGTTGGACATTACGTTAAGGCTTATCTTGAGGGCTGCTAATTGGGAAGCGGACAGATTAGCTAAAGATGGTATAGGTTGATTTGCTGCCTTAGTATTTGGGGAGTTGGTGTGTATGTTTCACTTTGTTACTGCAGATTTTTGTTCTCAGTCTTATGTTATTAGTGTCTACGCTTTCCAGCTGATAGTGGTTTTTAAGTCTTATGCTTTCTGGGAAGTTTTGTTTGTTGTAAGGGTTGGCAATGTACTATTCTTCTGTTTAATATAATTATAGACGCTCTTTTAATGAGGCCTCATCTTCTATAAAAAAATACCACTAAAGGTTACGCACAAGTTGAATTGTTGATGGGTAAATTTCTTTGGGGAGAAGATCAAGCTAAGAAACGGATTCACTGGGTGAACTGGAAAACGGTTTGTCAACCTTTTGAAGAGGGTGGGTTGGGTATCGTTGACCTGAGTTTGATTAATAGAGTATTGTTTGGGAAATGGGTGTGGAAATTCGCAAATGAAAAAAACAGTCAATGGAAAAAGATTATTTGTTGTAAGAATAACGTTAGCAATTTGTCTCTCTCAATGACAAAGGTTGTTTCTCCCTTAGATTCATGGATATGGAGAGGTATTCTGAACAACTATGTGAAAAATGATGAGATTGGAGATTGCTTGAGAGCCAATTCAAAGATACAAGTGGGAAATGGTAGGTCAATAGCATTTTGGAATGATGTTTGGGTTAATAATTCGACCTTAAAATCCCAATTCCCCTGAATTTTTGCTTTATCGAATAATAAATGGGGGAATATAGCTAAGTTTGGTGGTTTTGTTCAGAATGTATGGGTTTAGAATATTCAGTTACGAAGGAATTTATACGACTGGGAATTGGATCAGTGGCTTGCTTTAATGTCCTTGATTGATAATATAGTTCTGTTTGATTCAGTGGATGACTTTCTTGGGTGGTCGGGGAAGGGGGATGGCTTGTTCTCGGTCAAGTCTTGTAGATTGACGTTATCCTGCAGTTCTGAAGATAGTTTTGAGTGGAATAAGTGGGTATGGTCTGGTTTGGCTCCTCCTAGAGTAGAAACTTTTTTATGGCAGCTTTCACACCGTAAATTGGCAGTTAGAGTGGAGTTGAAGAAGAGAGGGATTCCCTTGGATGATGTCCTTTGTCCTTTATGTCATACTCATGAAGAAGCAATAGAACATCTATTCTTGGATTGCTCTGTTGCAGGGGAGTTATGGATTAAATTCCTAAGGGTATGAGATATTTCTACTGTTTTGCCTCAAGACCCCATGGCAATTCTAAGTTCATGGTCGTACCTAAGGCAGAATTCATGTATTTGGAAGTTTATCCCGGGTTGTTTTCTTGTCAATTTGGAAGGTGAGGAATATGGTAGTGTTTGAAAATTGGAAGTTTGACAGTTCTTCTCTATTCTTCTTCGCTAGATTTAGGTTGGCTAAATGGTATTTAGCTAATACCCATCTGTGAGTATTCTCTTTGATCTACTACTAGGGGATCCAACACTTGCAGATAAATTCATAATTCTTCGAACACAATCAAGGCGATTTGTTGGCTACTCCTCCACCTGATATGTTTAAATTCAATGTTGATGGGGCGGTAAGAGGAGATGGGCTACAAGGTGGGATAGGAGGTATTCTGAAAGATTCCAATTGCTCTACTTTAACCACTTTCTCCTATGCTGTAGGGCCAGGTCCTCCTACTTTGTCAAAGTTGAAAGCTATTAAGGAAGGAATTGATTTTTTCTTTGCTTCGGACTGGGCTATGAAGGGGAGACTTATTATAGAGAGTGATTGTAAATCTGTAGTGGATTGGATTTCTAAGCAGCACCCTGCCCCTACATTTTACAGTTCTCTGGTGGAGGAAATTGGGGCAATAATTTCTGCTATGGATATTTTTCTTAGATTGATTCTTAGGAGTTGTAATATGGAGGCTAACAAGCTAGCTAAGGAGGAGATTGGTTGATTGTTACAGGCCTGTTGTAGTAAGGTTTTGTGTTGTTTTTTGGGCTTTGTTTAAGCTTAAAGTCTTTATTGGTGATGTTAGTTTGGTTATCAGGTCAGGTCAGCTACATTAGAGGTTGTTGTCTTAGCTAAGATGGATTAGGTTGTGATTCTCTGGATGTATCTTATGTATTTTTTATGCTGAATGAAATCTAAGGGCACTCTTTTCCTCCTTCCAACTGATTAAGGAGCTTCCCTACAAGTTCCTTTAATCAAGAAGGGGGTTTTTAACGAGGCCTTCAATTCTTATAAAAAAAATATGTTCACATGGTTGATTGCGGTCTTAGCAATGCCATACCAATACTAAAATTGACAGAAAGTTGAAAGAACGGAGGAAGATATAGAAAAGAGGAAGATAAATCTATGTAAACCTTGAACCTCTTATCTCAAGTTTGTTGTTCGGATTGTCAGTGATCACTTGTAACAGATGTTGCAAAGTAACCCATGCATATGAGATCTTCCCTAATATAAACAGACTTAGTGCAAACTGAATTAATTAGGCCATGTAGAAATCAGTCACTTTCCTTAGTTTTCAATGAAGTATGCCTTAAAATCCATTTTCGGTGGTGTGTCATCCTTTGGTTGTGGATATTATTTTAATCTTGTCTAATTCTGCATTTTTCTGCAGAGTTTCAATGCTGCTTTGATAGTGGATCCATTAGCCGGGCAGATAATTGCAAGGGCATGTGATGATGTCTGCTCTTGGCATATGGGAACAAATGAAGCAAAGACAGAAACCTGCCACATCAAACAGTCGGAAGGATTCACTTCTGATGCTGATGCTAACAGGATAGCAAGAGATGCAACTTTGATTTCAAATGGCTCATCTAACAATCTCCTAAAATGTGACACCACAGTTCTTGTTTAAACCCTTGGCAGTTTCACAACAATCATTGGATACAAGTCCTTGTTATTGTCACCCATTACGACATGCTACCATTGTTGCTATTGAAGCTTCTGCTGCGAGGGACCGATTTGTTCCGTGATTCTGGGCACGGTGAAAAGTTGTATGAAGTTGATTCTACTCATTTTTTCTCCCTCAGGTTCTCCAGCAAAGAGACAAAGGGTGACCCTTGAAATGTGAGTTAACTTTATTCTGTTTCTATTGAATATTCGTCTTGGGTGATCCATATAACAGAGGTTAAGGTGGGGGAATATCTTCCCAGTTTTGTTCCAAATTCTACTGGAAGCATCTCGTTGTCTGTACGCAGAAAATATGTTATGTTTTTTCTTTTTTGTAGATTAAAATGACGCTGATTGCCACAGTTATATGTGTGCCACTTTAGAAGAAAGACAACTGGATAGCTGTATGTCCAATTGCAGATTTGCAGTATTCGTTAAGTTTTAACAAATATTATACCAATAGGGTTTTCTAAATAATAACTTCTTGATGAGTGATAGAAAATTGTCAAATGTGTAATAAGTTCTGTTTGTTTCTTGAAAGGTTTATTTTTACTATTTTTCATAAGAATACTATGTGAAATAAAAATATGTACGGAACAAGGCAAATTCAAAGGCATGTCTAACAATCCTATTTTAGGTAAAAATGGTGGGGAACAGGATGTGAATACCGAAGGTTCAAACTCCTTACCCAGGCCTTATCTGTGTACCGGCTATGACATCTATCTTGTCTGGGAGCCTTGTACAATGTAAGTTAGCAAAACTCATCTCTTTTCCTGTTTTGTTGAAGACAAAAAAAAAACTTGTAGATTGAATATATTGGATGTAAATAATTTAATCTAGTTTGGGAATGAGATTAGGAATATTTAATTTCAAATGCCAAACCTTGTAAATTTCTATTGATGGATGGGATTTGCTTGCATGTCTCTGGTTAAAAGCACAACAGTTTTGATCAGGGATTTGCTTGCTTGTCTCTAGTTAAAAGCACAATGGTTTTGATCAGGGAGGGAATGAGATTAGGATATTTAATTTCAAATGCCAAACCTTGTAAATTTCTATTGATGGATGGGATTTGCTTGCATGTCTCTGGTTTAAAGCACAACAGTTTTGATCAGGGATTTGCTTGCTTGTCTCTAGTTAAAAGCACAATGGTTTTGATCAGGGATTTTCTTTTGTTTATATTCAAGCTGTTTTTTCTCATCGAGCACATGCTTGTTTGGTTAAGCTTTGAGAACTACCTTCCGTATATTGTGTCTTCTGAATTTTAGATATCGTATTTTCATGAATCTCTACCAAATAGTCGTCTTTAGAAGAAACTTATGTTGCTCTAACTCTCATTTTTCAAGTATCCATGTTCAACACCTGTGTCTAACACAATTTTGGACATGGCTATGGAAATATGACCTTTCAAGGACTTATCAAATAAAGACATACATCATGTCAGACACATACCGTTAATTGGAACATTCAGAAGTCCGAGTACGTTGGTCGAAATAGTCTTGTGATGAAGATGGTACTTTTTAATTTTAGCTGTAAAGATTGTTGAAAGAAAGAAAGAAAAGATTTTTTCTTACCTTTATGTGATCTGATAAATTTGGTTGTGTTTTGAAGGTGTGCTATGGCTCTTGTTCATCAGAGAATTAGGCGAATATTTTTTGCGTTACCGAATCCTGAAGCTGGGGCATTGGGAAGTGTTCATAGGCTACAGGGTGAGAAAAGCTTAAACCATCACTATGCAGTTTTCAGGGTTGTCTTGCCTGAACTTGAATTTCCAGCGGAAAGATAGTTCTTTTGATATTTCCTACCGTTCACACTTTTACATTTTCCAGAAATTCATCTCATTATAAGAAATTGTAATGCGAAATGGTAAGTCTTAACTGTAACGGGGTAATGATAATTACATGATCCCAGGTTTTTTTTTGGGGATAAGTGCAGAATTTTATATCCAAAAGAAAGCAAACAACCATGTACAACAGGTATATTACCCATGTACAAATAGACAGCCCCCTAAGACACCCTAAGAATTTAACCCCCATTCAACACTACAACTTCCCTGCTTAACTGCCTACCCTTAATCCTGTGCAATCTGTTCAGCTTCAAATTAACATCCTTCAGGCTGGCCACCAAATCAGGACAATACGACCCTGAAAATCGTCTGTTCCTTTCCTCCAAATCAGGACAATACAACCCCTTCTTTCCTTCCAAATCAGGACAATACAACCCCTAAAGGATCGTCTGTTCCTTTTGTTCCAAATCAGGGTTGTATAGGATTGTCTGTTCCTTTTGTTCCAAATCAGGGCAATACCCATTTCAAGCCAAACGAAAAACCACCGACAACAACGATTTGTCCTTAACATTCCTGCAAGCCCAGCTAAGCTTTTGATCCAACACAAAACTGGTCTAGGTGAACCAAAGCATGCAAAACCCATTTCCAAATATATCTGAATAAGAACATTCAAACTCATTCAAACACTATACAAGTCCCCTCTATATTGAACCCAAAAGAAATGGGTTTACTTCTTGTTGGCAGCCTATTCAAAACTGTCATTCAAGCGATAACTGCAACAAACTTGACCACACCCAGCCCTCTCGAGAGAATTCAGAAACCTGCCAAAAAGAGCAACACTGCATCACTCTGTACACTATACACTGCTATGGAGTATTGGAGTTGGAAAAAAAATCTTCCCTCTGTTAGTGGCCGCTGTTCTCTCTTCCTGTAATACTAAGTCTAATATTCGTACAGTCGTGAGGAATTGCCTGACCACATTCTTTTCTCAACCAATCCAACCCCACGAAGCCCCTCCTTTGCCTTCTCCTTCTCCCCTCACGTCAACACCCTCACCGCCCAGTCTGTTGGGGCGGCATCTCTCCTGTCGTTTCAGATGAATGAATCACCAGGTTGTTTCCGACTCTCACGCTTAAGGCTTTGATTCTTTGATACACACTCCTCAAAATGCCGTCGGCATGGCTGTCCTTTAGATTTATGTTCTACTTGGCTTGGAAGACAATGATAAGCTAAGCGTTTTTATATTTCGTATGAAATGTAAGATTGGAGTGATCAAAACATGAAATAACAAAACTTGGACATACATTGTTTGGACTTAGTTTCTTCCATTTCTAGCAGAGTAGAATTATTACAAAGCAAATTAACTTTCTTATCCCAAAATCCTTATGGCTTTCAATTCATGGTTCGAGTGGCATGTTTTATGATTTTTATCAATATGTTAGAAGAAGACCCAAATTACTAATTTGTTGCTTTGTTTTTCCCCTGAAAAGATGTTGTCATAGTTAGGCTATATATATTTGCATATATTGCTCGAAGGTTTGCTCAAAATTATATCTTTGAGGTACTTAATCGTTGCCAGGTTTGCTTTCCTTGAGGTTCAGAGATCATCAATGCTCATCTTCTTTAAACACGGAAGATGATGTAAATATCTTCTCTCATAAACACACGCAGCATTGAGCAATTAATGGAAGTGCAGAAATATTTTTTAGCGTAGACATATTAACAACACGACCTTTAGTTGACCTTTAATTATAATTTTATGTACAAATAAAATCTCAGGGTGAACACTATCCGAATTATTTTCTACCTGTTTGAAAGAAGTATGGAGAGAAAAGCTCACAAAAAAAATATGTTAAGGGGTGATATGTTAGGAGCTGGTCAAGGGATGAACTAATATTTCAGCAATATTACCATAATACCATCAGTGATCTGACGGAAAGCTATTTTAGGCTTTCCATTAATGTCGATCAATTTGCAGCCCATATGTACAGTGATAGTGTGGAAAGAAGAATATTTGGCTTAGTGAGGATGGTTTCAAACATTTCTATCAAGCCAGTGGGAGTCTTACCTTGTGTTGTAAGAAGATCCTCCAGTGCTCCATTGGTGGTGGATGAAATATTCACATCCAAATGCAATCTCCTAGTTTTAAAGATTCATTCCCTGATGTTCTCTCTTCTGTCCTTCAAGATCTAAGTTCTGCTTGCTATTGATTCCGATGAAGCACTGGAAGATTTTTACTGATTCGAGGAAGGGAAAACATCCGAGGACATGACTGGGATAGACAGGGATAAAAGATATATTTGCTGTATAGGGATGGCGGAAAGTGTGTTCATGGATATCAAATTGAAGTTCTGCAATACGACGATGTTACTGCAAACTATAAGAAATTTGAATGGTATAAGGAGGTTAGAAAGCAGTATATGAAAAGAATGTTGTCTCGACAAACTGTATGATTGCATCTGCATATTGAACGATTTTCTCAATTCAATTTGTTTCCTTCAAATTAGAATTCATTACTTTCTAGGCTTCATTGCAATGCTTACATGAGAAATTACTGTATAAATTAAGTGAATAAAAATTCTATGGCATAGGATGTTTGGGGATTGGAGTTGGATGAGTAGCGACCCCATGGTAATCTATGTGGTAATCAACTGTCTGATCATTATCATATCCATATTTTCTTCCCATATTGATTCATCAAGTACTCCTGCATAGTGCATGCACACCATGATCAATTTCCTTAATTGTTTCAGGAGGCATAATAAGATGAAATGTGCAGGCTTAGTTCATTGTTTGTATTGCAGAAATAATGATTTTCTCTATGTGGAAATAAGTTAATACTTATAGACTAGTAGGAAAATTTTTAAAATGCAATTGAACTGACGTTTAATTAATATTGTTGTTTGGGTAGGGAGTTTACGTGTGAGCCCCATGCCCCATCATTTTCTGTTGCTGACTTGCTTCCAACACTCACCGCCATGGATGAACCGAGGGGCAAATGGGAAGTGACAGTCTCTTTGAATTTTGAAATTTTCATATAATTCAATATAAATTATATTACTATTGATAATCTAATTTTATAATTCGTTTTTTTTAGACCCACCAACTCAAATCTCCTCCATCACCATCTGTCTTTGATTTCTTGGTTATACGTTAATCCAAGAGTGCTTGTGGTTGAACATGGTTATTACGTGAAGAGGGAAAAGGGCAGTGAAAGGAGGGGGTAAGGGACCAATGGGGTGAAATGGAGCAGAAACGAGAAGAAATGGGTTCACGTGAAACAAAACAACTCACCTTGAGGCCTTATCCATGCTTTGTCTTCACCAATAATGACTAAAGTCTCCTGTGGGAATCTCTTTACATTTTCTTTTACTTAAAATTTTAAAATCATTCTCAACAACCTCCAACCTCCCATCATTATCCATTAATCAAGTAGTGTTTTACTATACTCCAATGAAAATACAATACTACAGGTCTAAAACGAAGAAAGATCACCGTGAACACTTTCTTTTGACAGTTTTCTTTAATGTACTGAATAAGTCTTTTTGTCTTTCTTGATGATTTAATTTCACATCTTCTGAAAATTAACTAAATTCAAGCAATTGGTTTCACTCAGAGAGAAGCAGGCCTGTAAATGAACCATGCTAAAAGAAACTATAGCCCTCGAGTCAATGTTCATTTACTTCTTAATTTGTTTGTGTTCGGTGTTTTAAATTGAATTTTAATAAAACTAACTGTTTCGAACCTAAAAACTAAACAAACATATTTACGAGTTTAATTCATTTCATAAACAAACCTTAAAATCTTGTTCATGATAAACACACCATTGCTCAATCATTAGTTTTCCTAAAGTAATATGCACATCCGGATGCATGCAAGCTCACGAACAATACTCAACACAGTAAGCTCCATAAATTCTTTATCCATGGATTAAGCTTCCTGAAATCACTTATATACAACAAATTATTATCAAGTTGGAAACATGTGTACTTGCAGTTTCAGTCAATGAAACAACAATCAAAACTGTCTCACCTGAAGCCCAACTTCTGGAAGTGAATGATGTTGTTTCCTTGGGCTTGAAGGGACACTCCTGAACTTGGGGACGACAACCTTGAAATTTGGCAAAAATATCATGTAGAGTATGGCCAAAATAATGGGTGCCGCAAAGCCATCCCAACAACTGCAGCAATTTCCATAAGATGATTTTCAAATTTAATTCCATTGATAAGACAAGTCTCAAATAATGAACAATCACAAAAGTCCAAATGCCATCTTTTGATAAAATTACATCACCTTAAGCATACAGGATAAAACCTTTCCACTTCAGACTATACTAATGTCAAGTTGAAGAACAGAGTAGATTGTTTAAAACTACAGTAAAACAGAATGGGGGAATGAATTATACTATCGGATAAATTGTCTATAGGTTCATAGTTTTTGGACTCTTCAGCATTAAAGCTGATGTCACGGTGGAGATAAGAGATATGGAAGCAATTATAGAATACCCTGGAGAATTACATCTGTGTTTAATGCAGAGTATCTAGAAGGAAATGAATAAACATTCTTTCTAAAAATGGGAAATAACCTAAGCAAGCACAAACTTAAAATAATGTTCTAAACGAAAAGATACTTTACAATCTGTATAGATTCAGCCTTTCTTCAAAGTTTCCTCTCTCTCTCTCTCTCTCTAGACTTTCAAATCATAAAGTTTTCAGTTTTTCTTGTACAATTTGTCCACATAGGATAAACCTTTGCATTATTTATTGATATATCTTCATAACAATATTAGTATCATCTTTATGAGATTAATGACACATTGGAACATGAACTATGATCTATTATTCAATTGGTACCAAAAGTTTGAATATTGGCAATTAGATACACAATCTTTGCCTCAGTTAAATAGCTTGCACCTTTAAGATAACTCTGTTAATCAAGATTTAGAAAAGAACAGCAGATGTGAGGGTGCGCAAATCTTAACTCCTATTTATAGTTCTTGACATGTAACCCCATTTGTATAACAGAGTTTGTAAGCTGTTCAGTCTACAACAGGGAATAAAAGTTGAAGTACTTAATTGCAAAGTTATTTTTCTTCAAATATCAAATTGATAATTTCATTATAATTCAAGTAGCAAATATGTAAGTGGCCCTTTTTATATTATGCCGGGAGAGGAAACCATTGACAGCAAATATCTTTAAAGTTCTTACATAGAAATGAACAAGTATGCAAGCTAGTTCATCTCTATTTCTAGATGTTATGATACATGCCCCATAGATAATATTTGATTTTCTATCAACGAGATCAGAGATAGATGAAGGCATAGTAAAATGTCTGTAAGCAAATTTCCATTCAAACAAGTTGCAAAAGAAAAAATCAATTTTCACATAGACACGCAAATCTAGATGAAGAAATTAAAATGTTAAGGTAAAGTTGAGCAAAAAACAAATTCAGATGACTAATCGATTCAACACTAATTCATGATTGCTACCATTATCCAAACACCATTAGAATAAAGTAGGGTTCTTGGGGAAATCCTCATCACCAAAATTTCAAGCTTCTAAGCTCAATTTGATTCAATCAACAGTTTAATATTTCAATCCTATCAAAATTGACATCTCTATCTACCATAATATGAAAACCAAATCTATAAGATGAAATCAAATAAAGTTCAAGGAGGAACAAGCATATGATCAAAAGAAAAGTTAAACAAGTTACGAGCAGAAAATGAATACTTACAGCACGGGCAATACTAAAGAGGAGCTCACTCGAAGCTTGGCCAGACAAAACTTTCTTCAAAGCATTAGAAGTTAGGGGAAATGAGGTCCACCGATAACATTTCACCAAAGCGAAGGAAGGGCACACCAGACTAGACGACAAGGTAGATCCAACCACGGATAAAACAAAGTGAAATGAAGGTAAATTTGCACTCCGAAAAGGAGGGCAAAAGGCTAAAAAAATAGAATGAAAACAGAAGAAGTAATCACCTCAACTCGATCGGAGTAGCCAAGAAGTTAGCAAGCATGACAGTTGGAGAGTGGCAGTGAGATCCCAACAACGCTATTGCCATCCCACAAAGCAAGACTGTAACCCTGCAGTATAAACCAATCAAAAGAAAAGCAAAGAAATAAAAAAAGAAAGAAAGAAAGAAAAGGAAACATTACCGCATATTGGGAAAATTCCCAAAGTAATTCCCAGCGCTGCAGAGAATGCCAACTGCCTGGGTTCTGCTCCCCTGTAATAGGAAACCAATCAGATTTATTGATAAAATATATGAATGAAATTTGGAGCTGTAGCTTACTTGAGGATCTGGAGAAGAGGATCCACGATCTTTTTGTTGAACCAAACCTTCATTGCCATAATGATAGAAAAACTGGAAATCTTTGATTAGATTTGCAAAAATTGCTTCTCTCCTATACCTGATTTGAGACTGACTAACAAATTTATTTATTTTTAATCTTCAAATAATATTAATTTCAGTGGGGGGAAATAAATACTGGAAAATAGGTAGAGGAAGAGAGCAATGAATGAACCGTTTCCCCTTACCATTTATACGAGAGAGGCGCATTTGATGTGAGTGAAGTGCGATTAATTTAAGTTAGTGAAAATAGAAGTAAATTTGGGTTATAATTTGATTTAGTGAAAAATAATTTATAATAATTTTAATGTTTAATTAATATTAAGTATTTTTAGTTAATAGTTTACTTTTTTATTAATTTTGTATTACATAATACTTTATTAAATTTTATAAATAATTTAATTTGAATAAAACTGAATGTATTAACTTTCTTTTGTCAAGTTAAAAAAATAATATAAATAATTGAATTTAAATTATCTTAATGGTTAAAGAGATAATTATTATTCTTAGAGATTCAAGGTTCAAACATTAAATTACAAGGATAATAAATTATTATGTTAAATTATTAAAAACATTTAAAATAAATAACCATCTAATCATTGGTAATTAATAAAAAAAAACAACAAAATAAATTATAGAAATGAATTCCCGTTGTGATTGTATGAAATTATATAGTACTGTAAAAATTTGGTTGCGTCCTTTAGATGGTTACGTGCAACAGAGGTAATGAAAAGAACCAATAAAAGGAATCATTTTAGTTAATTGCACCATACTCCTTTAAATTATAATTTTTATTTTAAATTTAATTTAGAATTATAAATTTTAATTTTTTCTCATTTTTAATATTTTAAATTTATTCAAATTATGACTTTTATTTCAAATTAACCCTTATATTTTTTAACATTTTAATTTAATCTTTAAACTATCAATAAATAATAGCCGCGTCCTCTTCCAATAATATTATTTTAAAAAGTATAAATTATCATGTGAATATTGATCTACGTTATGTAATAGTATAACGTATCATAAATGATTATTAATATTATATTAAAATCATTATTTAAAAAGGTAGTATTATGCATTTTAATTAAGTCTATTAGAAGTCTAAATATTATATCTAAAAAGTTTATTTTAATTCTTCTACTATAAAAAATATTTTAGTCCTTTTACTAAATTTAAAATTTTATTTTGATTCATCCACCATAAAAATAAATATTATAGTCATTATTGTATGTTTTAAAAGTCAAAATTTGGTTCAAAATCCTAAAATTATTGTTAATTGACTTAAATATTACATTTTAAATAAAAACATATAAAATAAGTTCATATAATAAATCCTATTTTTTGATATTATTTTATTTTATTTAAGATGTTATTCATTATAATATACTTTTTATAATGGAATAAATCCTAAAAAGATGTTATGCATGTGATTAAATAGTGTCGACAAATGTCATATAGATGGACCCTCAAAAGAGAGTTGAATCAATAAAGTCAAGCACGATTAGTTTACGCCGTGTACAGAAATATCATCACATCAAATACTTGGAAAATGAAGAAGAATGGTCATCGTGTCAAAGAAAAACCTTCTTCAAGGCATTGTGTTCTTTTATCTTGCATGGTACGTTGAAGTAAACTGGGGTTGCTAGTGACAATGGCATCCGTGTGCGCATGCAACCTCGTCATGGAATCGGCATCGTCGACAGTCCAGGCATATACCTTCTTCTCTCCTGTCGAAGACCATAACAGATCGAGCAATGGATCAAATTTGCATAACACACATCAATTACACCAATAACCAGCTCAAAATGAGTTTCGTACCCATGCAGAGTCTTAACCAATCTTTCATCGATCAATTGATGGTATACGCCAGTTACCTTGGCCCCTTTCATTCTAAATAAGCTACATCGAGCCCCAGTATGGGGATCCACCATTATAATGTAGCCTACCTGTGAGTTCATCCACAAACCGGTCAAATGCATAGAAAGAGTTGTTATCGTCAAACATCAACAACTTATACAGTATAGACTTAGTTATCGAGTTCAAGAATTATAATACAGAATAGATATTTTTTCTAAAATCCAAAGAACGGATCCTGCAAGAACAAGTCGGACATTCTGTAATTTCACAAAGAAACGACATGAAACACAATATGGCAACACAAAATTCCGGGTCTAGTATTAGATATTGAAGAGTTTATTTTTCAGAATCGAAAATCTATGAGAACTTTAAACAACACGGGTGAATCGATCAGTGAAAAGGAAGGAAAAAGGAAAACAAAAGCAGAAGAGAAGGGAAAAAATTTTGAGGTCACATATGTGAAAGGACAGTTGCACAGGATAAAGAGGTCTTGGGTTTCACCATGGCAGCTGGAATCCCGGTTTGAAACAACTGGTCTGATTTCTTGGTAAGCCGGATTTTGAATGAGTTGGAAGGAATAGTCAAATCAAATCAGTTAAATATGACTGTATTGAAGCATGTGATAGTTTGCCAATCCACTCGGAAAGAATTTTCATTACCCATAGAAAGTTACTATTATACACTCCACAATCTTGCTCGAATTATGTAAGATAGCCATTCATAAGACATCGCAAGAACCCTTCCAATAGTAGTAACTTCTCTAGGGGGGGAAATCCAAAATAGCTCAGAACAGTATAATTCTTCTCACCATAAGATCCGATGAGAGTTTGATTATGTCCCTCACTAAACTGTCGCTTTTAGCCCAAACGAGGCAATTCTTACACCGCATTCTCAACCTGAAAATTTTTATAATAGAACTTTAAAGCAAAATGTTTTGAATTAAAAAAGCCTGTTGGATAAAACAGTAAAATACTTCAAGCATTGTCTACTAAAAGAATATACTTAAATTTATTTGAAATTTTCAATTCATCTTTTCTATCGATATAGACCGATACAGTCCCAGTTTTCTCAATCAACTTTAAAGCAGGTAAAACCGTAAAATTCCCATGCATTTCTAGTAAACCTCATAAGTATTTCAAAGTCCAAATTAATTTGGCAATATTTTCTTGCTCCTTCATATTTAAGTATCAGAGATATCATAAACAATAATACAGTCTATCACAATCACATTGAAAAACTAGTCATGACAGGAGAATAGATAGAAGAAAAATAAGTGCAGTGCATAATGCCTCATTTACACATTTCTAAATCAAAAGTTACAAGAAATCAAGACAAAGGCAGAAGGGGCAAAATAACTCACAGCAGAAAGAATATCTTTTGCAAGTTCCTTTTCATATAATGGAGGCCCCACCTTGGCATCTAGAATCACCTGCCTAACTGATGTCGTTATAAACTGAATATTAAGATGAACCATAATCAGATATTCATCATTACCTTTTGATAGAAAAACTATCAACAACAGAATCTAGTGTATAGACGAAAAACTATCCTAAACATACCGTCAAAGCCTCTTCAATTGTAGGAATCTTTGAATTACCAGACTGATGATAGACATCAAGTTCTTTTATCTACAAAGCAAAACAAAGAATATCAATCAACATTACTCACCAATATAATTCATACTATCTAGTATCTTAAAAAGCACATATTGCCAAAAAAAAATCAATTGATCAATTAAGACCTCATATACAGATAGAATTTTTCACAAGATATATATTGATTCTTCTTGTTCAGACTAAAATATTAGCTGAACGAGCAAGACATTAAAGAAATTAATATTTCCTTGCTTAAGCTCAAAGAAAACACATTTTCTCGAATCCAATATTTTACAAGGAAAACCATAAAAATTTTAATCAGAAATGGGAAGGCATGCCGCAAAATAAACATATTAACAAGATCAAACTGAACAGTCAAATCAGATAGAAAGAAATGACATTATCTTAATTCAGCAATTTATATTTTTTCTTTTTCTGGTTTGGGCCTCGATCCTTGTTTGTATGACATACATAAAGCACAATAATTAGGTGTCATTAGTCATGAAAGTAAAAATGGATTCTTTAGAACTCAGCAAAACAAGCGAAGAATCTATTCAGAAATATTTTCACCTCGTGTGATCTCAAATGCCCAACTTTAGAAGTGTTGTTACCAGATATTCGCTGCAAATCCCTGCCTGTGTAACATAAAAATCAAGTCTCCAAACAGCTGCAATATAAGCTTGCAATAAAAATGCAGGAAGATAGACCAGATTTGTAATCCAACAATACCAAGCAATTATTGCATTAAGTATTACACAAATTATTTTGTTATTCTGCTAAACCCTTTTAATACTACCCACCCACAAAATGAACTTTCATATTACTTAAAAAGTCACTTAGCTTACTAGTAAATGGTTTTCCTTAACACCTTACTCTAGAAAATCAGCAAAGATGAAAAGAAAATGAATTACCATTTTTTGAGTTTGCAAAAAGAACAAAGAGTAATAATATTGTAAATAAAGGAACAAATCAAGTAATCCGAAACCTTGGTTCAAACTCCCACCAATATGCAGCAATCTAATAAATCAGAATCAGTACAGATGTAATGAAAAATCCAAGACCATGTCCTGAACTGAATGTATGAATTATGATAGTATTAAACTAATTATTATTCCACCAATTATATGAGACAACACATGAAGATTAACACCAAAAGATTAGCGGACCTGGACTACAAGGATTATGGAATATAAATGAAAAGATGTTGCTTACATCTTAAGTGTCAACATTTCAGCAAAAGCACTGGTTTTTTTTTAAATATTTCTATATAATTAAGATACATCAAGAAAATTTAAAATCCATATATATTAAACACAGGAGTAAACGGCTAATAAATCAACAAACTGACTGCCATTTTTTTTAAATAAAAATGACTACTGAAACCATTCAGGGAAGTAAAGTACATATGAATTAGAAGATCACATCCTTTATGGAAGTTCTCATATGATTATGAGATGAAAATACCTGTCATGAAGTGCAAACAAAACTCCATCTGATGAGCGAGAGACATCAATTTCAATGCAATCTACTTGAGAACGAAGAGCAAAACCATATGCAGACATCTGGCCAAAATAAAAGAAAAAGAGCAGATGATAAACAGATCAACAAAGAATAATAATAAGATCCTAAAAGCTATGAAATAGCAGGCCCAATTGAAGGTAATTGTAATCTAAATAACCAGTTCATCATGATGTGCTATAAGGATTTAACTTGTGCTAATCTAGCCTTGACCAAGCAATATCATAATTTCAAGTTCTAAGGCACAAAAACAGAAGTTGGACAGAATAAACCGAAGGAAACCAGAAACCGGGTGAAATATGAAACAAGACTATTACATCCCCATAAGATATATAAGCAATCAAATTTTATAGATGTTGTTTGTGTCTTTTGAAAGCCACGCAAAATAGTGAACTAAAGCAATTACAGAAAGGAAGAGATGTTTACTGTGTTTGGGAAGGCATTAGTTGAGTCACCACCATGAGCACACACAAGGGGAGGATTGTTCAGCCAACCGCACCTGCTTAATTGTGTCTGCAATATAAAAGCAAAAAATGAAGTCGTACTACTAATTGAGAACCTATATATGTGACAAGTATCCCCTTTAACTGAGGAATAAAATAAATTGACATAATTAGATTCGTAAGAAAAAAGGAAAGAAAAGAATCTTCAACTTAGAATATTCAGAAGCCATACACTTCAATATTTAGAAAAAAATATTTAAATCATTCAGCAGCCTATCCAATATTATATCATATAGCGAACATCAACTAAGTAGAATAACCTTAGTAAAATGTTTGAAAACTGCCTTGTCATTATCATTTAAGAAAATTTAGAAAGAGAACACGTACACAATTATATCAAGTATTGACTTCTACTTTATGTGCGAGTCCTCCATGTGTAGGTTTAACATGAAATTCAGTTGTTAACTCAATCACAGCACTTAACAAAAAGTGTAACCATTTAACAAACAGACTAAATGATCGTACATTAAGTTGATTGGAGGAAACAAAGGTAACCTTAAAATCTCAGGAATGTTTTTACACCTTTTAATGAATCACAAACAAATTCAACAGACAGGAGGTATAGAAAAGAACAAACAGAGAAGTAACAGAGAAAGCTTAAACAGTTCAAGGGAAAGTAGCAATAACGCCTCAAAGTTTACCACTGAAATAAGCCGCAAGGGCAAAAGAATACAGAAAAGCTAGAAAAAGTGTACAACAAAAACAAGAAAAAAAATTCCTTAAACCTCAGCCTTTGAGTTAAGAGCACAATATTCCACTGGATCAAATTCTCTACAATATCTCTCACCCCACAAACACCAAAGTAAAATAAAATGGCACAATTGTCCAAACTAACTTGTTTCTGCGTTTGCTAGATACTGCTCTCCAACTAGCCATAATACCTACCACCATCTTCACCATGACTAAATGAAAGGAAAACAAAACATAGACATAACTTCTGAAGCAATTACGCATTTATATGTTCATATGTTTCATTTATAATAATAGTAATTAGATTAATATATATCAAATCAAAGATTTGTGGCATGGGAAACATTTTCAGATGGTTCAGTCACAAACAATGACTTAAATAATTAATAACACATTCATAAAAAAGAAATTAACCAGGGTACATAATGAAAGATATTACACAAGCTCGGATTTTTAGAAGAAAATATACATACTTACACACACACACAATATGTATATATATATATATATATATATTTGATAATACACACACACACACATATATATATATTGCAAAAAACAGATCTCTGAATTGAAATTATAGCACCAGTTTCTCAACATTTGCTACAATGAATCCACATGTGAAAAAAAAATCCAATAATGCAATTAATTTAGAAAGCCTTCACATTTCCAAAGTCAACGTCATCTAGGGAGGAATTTCAAAATAAAATTAAAAAAATCAAATCAAATTAAATGGAAATAGTTGCTCGTAAACAATCATATCTTGAATTTATAGCAGCATAAAATAAAAAAAATCAAAAAAATCAAATGAGAGAACTCCTATCCTGATCAAAAGTAGAAAAACAGCGAATTCGGGAAATTAAGGCGTTGGGATTGGAACCTGATGGAAACGGCGGAGCCTGAAGTGGAAGAAAAGGGGAGGCAAAATGGCGACGAAAGCAAGAAGAATAAGGATGAAACGAAGCCTCGAATAGAAAGAAGAAAATCTGAACAGAGGGGTTCCATGGCCGCGCCTTCTTCCTACCGGCGGTTTCATTTCTACTATTAGTACGTACGATTCCCACCAAATTATTTTATACTATATATGCTCTGGGTTCTGGGCTGTGTGGCTGCAGGCCCAATCACATAGTACAAAACAAAGGATTTTTTTCCACACCTACCATTTCACTCATTTTCTTCCTGGTTCCATCCAAATTTTATAAATTTCATTCATTTCTACGCTATTCTTTACTCTTTCTCGATTTTTGATTGGAGGTTTTGCTGGTCACAAACTGGTTGGCTATCCCAGTCGCGCCATAATTCTTTTGAAAGAACTTCGCAGAATCACAACAATTGGAGTATTTGTTAAAGTGCTAACAACTGCACAGAGAAGATCTGAATGCCTCCAATGGCTAAATTGCTGATCAGATTAAAAAATATAAAGGTTAGTTCATCACCATTAAGCCTTCTCTTCGAAGAAGGAATCAAAGTTCGATAGAATTCACTAGTAGCTGAATTTCAATGTAAAAACCGAAACTTACTTTGCAAAGTCTTCTGGCTTCTTGCTCAGGCCAAATGGATTGTATCCATAGCTAAATGAACATATGCACGTTAAAGATAAATTATTTAATCCAATGAATAACTTTGCACTTCTCATGTCATGTAACTTAATTATAATACTCACTCTCCGGGCACTTCTCCGGTCAAGTACGCTGGGATCTCCGATCTGTCCAGCAGACCTTCCGGCAAGAAAATTCTTCTGTCGGGACTCGGGACCTGTTGAAATATAAATGCATGTTTTCATTTTCTTTGTACAATTCGCTTATTTATATACGCAAAACGATTTGATTCTGGTAAGTACACTCCATTGAACTTACCGTACCACTTAGCCAGCTCTTCATCGGCTGGGGCGAAGGAAGCAAGCCTTGGGCTTCGGAGGTGCGGCCTTCTTTTTGGAGAAAAGAGCGACGGTCTTGAGAGCGCCGGAGTTCAATGGTGTGGGGGCAGATGACCTAGCTCCACCACTGAAGTTGAGAGGGTTTCCGAGCATCTCGGAGACGCCGAGGGAGGCGGCAGCGGTGGATGCTGCTAACGAGGCCATGTTTATGGCCAAGTGAGAACAATGATGAATGATGGATGCCTATAAGCAAGGCTGCTGGATGTGGAGACGCCACGTAGGATTGTGGTTCACGAGTTCCCATTGGTTGACAGCGGAAGATGTGAAACCTGATACAGCAATGCGATAGGTTGGAGTTGCTCGCGTGGTAGATCATAGTGCTGACGTGGACTGGAATGCTTCTGCTCTTTGTGGATTGCTTGCTTAGGTCTTGGATAACATGTTTTTTTTCTCTCGATTCTCACTCGATAGGCATAGTTTTGCATTTTGATCCGAGTCACGTCTATCTTACGTGGATGTTATTCACTCAAGTCAATAATCTCACAGTTTCAAATCAAAATTTAGTAAATTCCTCTGCCACTTGCATTATATTTTTAAGTGCTTATGTTTTGTTCTTTATAAAAATGTTATTTAACCCTCATTTAATTTTTAATATGATAAAATTATATTATTTTTTAAAAAAATTATAATTTAATTTTAGATATCTAAAAAATTTATTTTTTAAGTATTATTAAAGAAAAAGTTTATTCAGCTAGATATATTAAATTTTTGTGGTTCTATTATCTCGAAGTAGTGATAGTATTTCCGACAAAAGGTTAATGAAAGCATAATATTTACGACACTTTCCTTTTCTATTTTGGTCAAACTATCAGATAACTTTGTTAATTTCATGCAGAATATGCCTTATCGTAAGGTTTCAATTCTTGCTTAGAATATCAAAGATATGATCAATAACGCAGTAGTAAATCCTTTTAATTTTGTCTTTATGAATAATTTTTAGACATTCTTTGAGATTTTTTATGTTAGAAAATATTAATGCTTGTTATTTTTTTGTTTTTAATAAAATCCAATATCTTATTAATTTTGTTTTTAATAACAAACCTTATACTATGAAATTCATTTGGTTTGTGCAATTATATGTTTAAATATACATGTCAGCGTTTTGTGACCCAATCCTTATGCGAAACGACAGACTTCCAACGTTTAGTATATTCCTCGGTTCAATGTGCTCTACTGACATTTATTTATTTTATTGTTAAAAGCGTTAAAAATATAAATAAAATACACAAATGGTCCATTTATTATAGGATATTATTGTAACACCTATAATCCGTATATGTCTCATAATACGAATTAAATATGTCACATCAGCTTAACATACATTTATTGAACATATATGCTTAAAATTTTGTTGTGGTTTAAAATACCATTTTCTTACAATTTAAAAATTGTAATTTCTTTAGCATGGATAGTCGTAACATAGTAATTTATTGTTCCAAACAAGGCTGGTTTTTATGCAGCAATTAGGCAGTTACATACTGTTTCATATCTATATGCATCTGCTTAATATTGCTTTATTTAAAAATTTAAAAAAAAATTGTTTATAATATTCATTCATAAATACGATTATAGCTAAAATTATCCAAAATTAGAACAATCATAAATTACTATTATAGACCCTTTATAAAATAAAGTTTGATAAAACAACCCAACAATTATAATGTGCATGCCACTAATAAGTCAAAGTTAGGATGTCTTACTGATACTGTCGGTAGGTTTGATTCCCATAAGATGCTGGCAAGCTCCTCACTTCACGTCCTCTACTGTATTCGAACCTACGCATAAAAACCATCATGCGCTAAGTAAAACTTAGTGAAGCAACTACATAACTAAAATGATATAAAATATAAATTTCGTAAAGTATTATAACATGAAACTGTAATTTAAATAAAAACATTAAAACTTTCAAACCGAGCTGATCAAGTTGATTTTCCTTTAAAACCTGAAAATCATCCTCTCATGATTTCATCAAAGCTCATGTAAATCAAAATCAAATAACATAAACAATTCATATCCTAGTCATTCATATATATTTCATAACTTTTCATTTCATTTTCATATTCTTTCTGATAAAATAATAATATCATGATTTATGTTAACTGAAACGTAATTCATAGCTTTCATATTTATTTCCATAGCCCAATACATATTTATGAGAATATAAGGTATATGAGTATAACTGAAAGGCGCGCACTAGGCACTTTAGTGCCAATCATAACTGAAACTGAAACATATAATGCACTTCAGTGCAATCATCACATGAGCACCAATGCAGATAACTAGAAACTGACTGATAAGTACTCACTTAATTACATGCCAATTATACTTATAACTCTCAATGCAACATACAATGGGCTTTTAGATTATACATTGTTTGTTTCATAATCAATATTTCAATTCAGAATCATTTTTCAATCATTCTCATAAAAATCATAATTTGGGTAATTCATAACCTAAACATTCATAAGACATATATAAACATTATGAAAATAATAATCCATGCTTAAAATAGAAAACATACTTCAAGTAATGCGAGGTTGACTTATCACAAGTGGTCCTCAATCAAAATAGATAAATAAGTAAATTTCATTCACTTTGACACTTGATTAATAAATCAAAATATAAGTCTCACTAAGCTTTATAATTAATCCTTTGTTCTCAAATGCTTCAACTATCCAATTTTATCAAATTTTCATGCTCTGTCAGTTTGCACTACCTTCAAATAAATATTATAATGTATTAATATACATACTTAAAAAATTATTCCGGTAATACCAATGGAAACTAGACTCAAATACAAATCTAACCATATAAGACACTTCTTATAGTTCAACTTTCAAAGTTGGCTAACAGAAGATGTTTTGAGCAGAATCTGATGTCCTGTTTTCTGACCTATTCTTGATTAAAAATTCATATCTTTTTGTATACACCTCGAAATCATTAGTTATTTGTTTTAGACAAAACTATACTGATATACAAATCCAACAGTATAAAATTAATCCCCTAATCATTTCTATATAATTTATGGTGAATTTCTAAATTTACTGTTTGAATCATGAATTTCTAGACAACTTTCTGTAATTTGCATCCTTAATTCTTTTCCCTAATTCTATAAGCTTAATAAATGAAAATATAGGCTAGAATCATAATTCATATAACATTAGGAATCACTTTTTATCGTAGTAATTCTGACATTGTCTCATCGCAAGTAAATGTTTGTTCGATAACATAAATACAAAATAAATACACTCATATTTGCCTTGCTATCGAATCTTCTCTGCGATAACCTTCTCGATCTCAAACTTTTTCCTTTATTTTCGAGCTACACGAATCACAAAATTTACCTTGGTCAAACAACGTCATATAATAACATAGAATGCTCATACTACATGTTAGTATCGAACTAACATAATCTAAGCGTAATTATAAAATTCGATAGAAATAAAATTGATACTTAAATCATTTTAAAACTAAATCGTAATTCCATCGTAATTTCAAACTTCTTAAAATATTTCCTTAAATTCCATAAGTATTTGTTTCCATTATCAGCCCTTCAACTTTTGCCAAAAATAAAATCAAGCCACTAATTATGAATTATTTCTAGAATTCACCTTAATTTTTCCATTAAATTCATAATAATCCCTCACCATTTAGACCGTTGCACTTTAATTTCTAAAATTTCCAGCACCTTATTAAAATTCCTAAATCAATACTTTAACATTCAAAAACTTACAATTTCGTCCTAAACTTTCTTAGGAATTCACCATCAATCTTTATAAACTTAAAATTTGATCTCAACTCAATAGATGAACTTAAAAGTCAGCATGTCCATAAAATTTCCGGTATTATAATATTTTACCCAAATGATACCTTAACATTTAATAAACTTGAAATCAAGTCCTTATAATATTGAGACCTTTCGAATCTTACCCTTAAACTTTACCAAACTTGCAATTTGGTTCCAATCAACTTTCTAACTTAACCCCTTCAAATATCTCATTCTTGCAATAATATCCCATAATTCTCAAAAGTTGTATATTAACCCTTTTTCTTATTCAAGCTTCTAAATTGGTCCAAATTGATCTCCAAGTCACGTGAAACACTTCTGATATCAATACAAGACCATATGAATTATTTCAACATTTCCCCCTAAATTTCCCTAATGGTCGAATACCCTAAGTGAATTAGGGTTTGATTTCCATTCAATTTCAAGCATGAATTCAAGCTCCTAGCATTAAATTCATGCATTTCCAATCATCCTAACATCAAATTAAATCAAAATCCATTCAATATACATAAACCATAATTTGTTCAAGCCTAACATAAGGCTTTACACATGATTTTAATCATCATTCATGCTTTAGGATTAATCACTAACATAAAAAACATAAAAATCCTTCATCTATTCTTCAAAATCCATACACCCTATATAAACCCTAACTTTAAATCGTAACACATAATCATCCTCACAATGAAATATTGATACCAAATGATAGAGAGTTTCATGTAGGTTAATTATCTATCTAATAGTTTAATCCAAAAATCAAGTGTATGACTTCAAAAATCAAAATAAAATTCTTACCTTGGTGAGCTTGGTGGTTTCGCCCAAATGAAAGAAAATGGTTGAAAATAAGTTGATTATCTTGATTATTCTTGTATTTAATAATTAATACACTTGGCACTAAACCAATTTAATTGAATTTAAAATTCAATTCTTAAGAAATTCCATTTTTACCATTAATAAACCTTTATAGTTACCAAATGTCATTGCCTTATTCTCCATTAAAATATTCTTTGGTCAAAGATAAATCAATTTGGCTTAGACTTTTCACTTTGTCCATGCAATTTTCAAAAATTGCATTTTAATTACTAAAATTCTACTGTTCGAAAAAATCTGAAAAATTACACTTATCTGAGTTAAATGTATCTTATCTAAAATATGGAAATAATATTTCCAATCATTTTCTAACATCCTTCAAATTTTCGTAAAATTTCGGTTCGATCCGATTATCTGATTTCACTACCAAACTTTATCGTTTTATAACTTTTAACACAAATTACGAACCAAAAATCTGAAAATTCTTGTTTTAATCTAAACTTTTTATTTACGGGCTAAAATATATAACTTTTCAAAATTATATTTTTAGTCCCTAAACTCTTACAAGTTTATACTTTAGCCATCAAACTTTTAAAACTTACATTTTAGTTACTAGCCAAAATTTGGGGTATTACAATTACCTTATCAAACCATTCAATTACTAAAATTTACCAAATTTTCCTCCAACTATAGAATGTTTGTTAAGTTCATCTACTATTAAAAGTTAAAAAATATTCACCCGACTATTCATTATATCCAAACTCGTCATTTTTCGTTAAAAATTGTGGTTGTCTAAGCTAGAAGTTAATATGATAAATGAGATATGCTAATCATTTAAGATTCTAGGATCACATTTTATCATATCACATTCAACAGGTTAACGTTCAACTCAGAATACCGTTAAGTTTTTAATAAAAAAGTACAAGTTTGGAATATAATTAATAGTCTGGTGATCATTTTGTAACTTTAATAGTCAAGGGACTCAACAAAACAACACTCTATAGTCGAAAGATCATTTTATAACTTTTAATAGTCAAAGGACTTAATAAAGTAATATTCTATATTCGGGGGACCATTTGTGTATTTTACCCTAAATATAAAAGCCTTCTTACATAAGTAAGCTGCTTCGCAACGACGAGAGCACGCGTCTTATCCTCGTAACCAAAATAAATATATATATTTTCCTGTCCAGTCACAGCCCCTACTTTTCTCTCTCTCAATACATCTACTAATTAAAAATATACTGGTATTACCAATTTAAATATAATAATTATAATATACATTCTTATAAACAATACTAATAATTATAATACATATGAAATTAAAATATATTATGTTAATTAAATTTTTAAATAATAATTAATTTCCTTCCCTTCAAGGTTTCTTTAAATACGAAACCCTTTACTCTGTACTTTTTTTAATTTTCGTTTTTATTTGTGCGATCCCGTCTTACCATCATGGCTATGATCGATTCCTTCTTCAACAAAGGCTTCAAAGCTGCTAAATGGTATCCCCCTCAGTTCCACTCCTTAATAAGCTCATATTCATGTTTATATTTATTGTTCAATTCATCGAATTTTGTGCTTCTTGTTATATGTTGCTTAATCTTGTTTGATGAATCATGTCTTTTTACTTTTTTTGTAATTATTAATTTGATCGATTTTGAAGATTTATCTTAATTTGTTTCAAGTTTGATCTGTTTTTTTTTGGGTGGATATGCAGCAAAACTTTATTGAAGTTAACAATTCCGCGGATAAAGTTATTAAGGAACAGGAGAGAGATTCAGATAAAGAAGATGCGCCGCGAAATTGCGAAGCTTCTTGAGACTGGCCAAGAAGCTACTGCTCGAATTCGAGTATGTTATTACTTCTTCTTTAGCCAGATTTTTTTAAAAATATTTTAAATTTATCATTTGCTGAAGTGCAAATATATGTATTTGATAACCTAAATATGCTGTTTTTATTATTTAGTTAAGTGATCTAGGTTGTTGGTACTTGGTACATTCTAAATTTGCTGTTTTTAGAAGGTATTGTAATTATTTTGAGTGCTTACTGGAAAATAATTAGATAGTTCCTTATGAAACAATGCTTGGGGTTTATATCTCAGGTGGAGCATATAATAAGGGAAGAAAACATGATGGCTGCTCAGGAGATCCTTGAGCTGTTTTGCGAGCTTATTGCAGTCCGGCTTCCGATCATAGAGACTCAAAGGTTATTGTTTGAACTTTTTGGAGTCTTTATATTTTTATTTCTTAATATATTGGATTTGACTCAATTGCTTGGGTCTGAACCTGTTTGGTAGGATGAATTATGCAATGTAGGGGATATCAGTTTTAGGTTGAAGGATGGAGCCAAATATTTGTACAGAGGCTTTGGTGGCTGAGTCGAAAAGTAGTTTGACCAAATTCTTCAAATTGAATATTATATCTAGAGAAAAAGTAACTAGAACAAACAGATTCTATATCGTTTCTTTGAATGTTTGATTTTGTTTCATTATGTAGGAGTTGGTGAACTGCCCTAATACTGTCTTTAAGATGGTTTCATTGAATGTTTAATAATTCTCCGTAATGGTATAATTCTCATAATACCTTTCTCATGTGCTTTGCCATGCCAATATTAGAATCTCGGGCTGCCTTTGGCAAGTTCATACATGAAGCATTTACACCTTTTTGGAGGTAGATCAATCTTTGCCGTGTTATAAACTGCTCATATCACCTAAATATTACAAAAGGTCTCATGATGTTCTTTACTCGATGAACTTTCCTTCCTGTCAATGCAATTCTGTAAATTTCTCCAAACTTATTGCTATGACTTTGTCGCCTTGATGAATGGCATTTTTCACGATGTTGGTTTTTTGTTCATCCTTTTTCAGGGAATGTCCTCTAGATTTGAAGGAAGCAATAAGTAGCGTGTGTTTTGCTGCGCCAAGATGTGCCGATCTACCAGAGCTGCTGCAGGTTCAAATGCTATTTACTGCCAAGTACGGGAAGGAATTTGTATTAGCTGCAACTGAACTGAGGCCAGATTGTGGTGTTAATCATCAGGTATTAGAAGTTTGAAGGCTCATTGTGTATTTTCATTTTGTATTTTAGTTCTTCTAGTTGGTATTCTCCTAAATGCAGTTGATAGAATTGTTATCTATACGCGCTCCTTCTCCTGAAGTAAAATTGAATATTCTAAAAGAAATTGCTGAAGAGCATGAGTTGGAATGGGATCCAGCTTCTACTGAGTCTGAGTTTTTCAAACCACGTGAAGATTTACTGGTAAGTAAATTTTGGAGTGCGTTTTCTTATTTTCTGTTCCTATATCGTTAACATGCCTATTTTGTTTGTCAGAATGGCCCAACACAGTTTGTATCTGAATCAAAGTTGTCCCTTCTGTCAGAGAAACATGGTGAAACATTGACTTCTGCCCCTGATCATGCCGAAACCGAGCAGCCTGATTCCGGTTTGGACTTTGACCTTGTAGATTTTCCAGAAGTTCCTAACGTGTCATTGCAGCCAAGCACTAATGCTGCATCAGCACCAGTAACTAACCCACCTTCATCAGCTGCTCCAGAACTTGAAATTGATCATTCATCTAAACATTCTAGAGCTTCTGGTCATGTGGTACAAATGCCCCCTTTGGAGCCCGATATATATCAGCAAGAAAATACAATAGCTAAAGCAAGTGAAATGCTCGATGATCCAGCCACAGCCAAAGACAACAAACAGTTTCTGCCTTTCATTTCTACTCCATCGACAGCTGCTTCATCAATATCTGCAAGACCAAGCGGTTCAACATCATCTATTTCGAAACCAAAAAGTGAGGCCAACTTTGATCTAGAGGATATTCTAGCGGCTGCTCAGTCATCTGCTGAAAGCGCTGAGCGTGCAGCAGCTGCAGCTCGCTCAGCAGCAGATCTTGCCCAAGTCAGAGTCGCTGAACTTAAGCAGAAAAGGAATGGCCAAGGCGGTGAAGATAGCTCTGAGAACCACCTTCATACGAATATTCCTCATCAACCAGCTAGAAAGGAAAACCCAAATTTTGATCATCTAAACTCGTCTAGCTATCCTGATGATGTTTTATATTATCCAGACTCCAATATAGCACCTCAGGCTGAGGAGCAGAAAGGATCAGAAGCAGCGGATCTTCCTAAAGTGAGCAAATTGAAAGTAGGTTCGGATTCACCGGTTTCTAGAGATGATGCTATTGAGCAAGATCAACATCAAAAGCAGCCGCAGAGATTGCCTTCAATGAATGATGATTACTCGTATCCAAACCTGTTTGGATCCGGTTATTCTTTTAAACATAATTCCGATAGTCATTAAGTCCACCGGGGGCTTTCGTTGATTGGATTTATAGTATTGCAGTTTTCAGATATGGTGTCCATCTTTATGTTCTTTTATTTGTAAAATAGTCAAAACAAGTAACGAAGCGATGCTTTGAAAATAAAAGTTCCTTTTTTTTTCTCAAAATAAGTTTAGCATATTTAATTGAGCTTTATGATTAAATCGAATTAGATTGAATTTAGATTATCTAATACCGGGGCAAGTCCATTAGCGACCTAGTGTGTATAGCAAAGTAACTAGAATAAAAATCTGCAGTGAGACTATCAATCACTACATGTAAATTTCATTTTAGAAAGCTTACTGAACATCAAGTTCAATAAGATTGTTAATTTCTCATAGCGAATCAAGTTCAATAGGAATGTTCTCTAGCAAACACCTATCTATATAATAGGAATGTTCTCTGGCAAACACCTAAATATAAAGAGAACAGTGGACCAAACAAGAGTAGGATAGCACAAGATTTACATTAGGTTTGTATTTTAAAATTATTAATGGAGTAAGCTGAAGCTGAAGGCAAAGGTGAACAATTTGACTCGGAAATGATAAAATGATACTCGTAAATTCGAATCATTCAAATGATACTTGACTAATGAATTGAATGTCAATAATTACAACAACAAAAAACATGTTAGGCATTGGGCACACCAGTAAACCCCCTGGGGTTCTCTCCTTTCTCTACATTCTTCCTTTTTCAACTCGGAATTGATTGTTTACAAACAAAAGGAGAGTGCCTCGGGAGAGAGAAGGCTCTTTTAACTTTAGAGAGTGTTTGGTTGGGGGAATATGAGATTCTCATGCAAATGGAATCCACATTTTCCTGTTTGGTTGGTCGAGAATGTCATTCCCAGTAATCTTATATTATCAATAGTGGATTTTTTTGGATATATTACCGGGAATGTCATTACCTCCATTTCTTTAGGTATTGTTGGATTACCGACGTTTTGGATTAAAATGCCCTTAAAAAAATTTCTTTCAAAAATATCCTTATTCTGTCATTGAATAATAAAAATTCTACGAATGTTAAATTATAAATTTATCCTTAAACTATTTTAGATTTACAAAAAAAATCTATAATTAAAATTTTATATAAAATTCAGGGGTTAAAATAAAATTTTACTCTTTCATTAAACCTTTTTATATTTTCAATTTTGTAAAAAAATATATAAATTTTATGAATCTAAATTTTTTAAAGAAAACATATAAATATTTTCCAATTTATTAAAAAAAACAAATATATAATAAGAATAATTTGGGTAGATATACATTCTAATAATATTTTATTTCTTTAACCAAACAATGTAATCTTACATTCCTGCTAAACCAACCAAACACAAAATACAACATTCTCAGTAATCCTATTCTCTGATAATCTTTTATTTCAACTAATAATCTTACATTATGTATATTTCAACTAAATATACATTTAAGATTTTGAATATAAATGAATAGCAAACAGGGAGAGAGTCAACCCATGCAATAATTTAGTTTTATTGAAGGTGGTGGGGTCGGGTGTAAGAACCTCATTCTTTGTGCATCGAACTCTTCTCCCATTCGTACATATTATAAGAAAATTTGAGTTTGCCATATTTGTCTTTTCCCGCACCTTTTACACCTTTCTTTATGACTAAAGCATACGATTTGCCACCGATCTCCAAAAATGTATCCAATATTATCTACTCGCTGACTTTCAAAAACATACAGAAATACCAAGAAAAATACATAAGACTGATATCAGCAATGTGTTTAGTGACGATGTTAATTCATCGTGTTATAATTATTTCGAATGAATTGGTTTTTTATTTAATTAATTAAGGAGTTGAGTTTAGATGGATTTAATTGATTATAATCTGACATGGTTTATGTTAATATTTTCTTTAAATCTAGGCTTTTACGTTCTCTATCCATATCCAATCTATCATAAAACTAAGAATTAAGGTATTATACGTATTTAAATTATAGCTAAAAACTTCAAACTGATGTCCACATTTCAAAGCACACAAATTCAATCTTTAAACTATTAACATCATTTCAATACTCAAATTTTTATACAAGTATAGTCATCAGGTGTTCTCTTAGATCTTATATGAATCAAATTTGAAATATGTGGATCAAATACACTTTCTGCTACTTAGATATATGTTAAAAGAAAGAAACAACCTCGTTGATACCTCTTGTGAAGCTGAATTTTAGTATAAAATGAGCCCATTTGGAACAAGTATAAACCAGCCCACCAACTAAGCAAAAGAATGTGGGCCGTCCAAACCTAAGAATAAGAATAAGAATATTTGTGCACAATATATAAATTTTGATACCCCAAATAAACAATCAATATCTCTAGAACTTGGAGCTAGTTTTACTATGTTTAAAAATGTGATACCTTTGTCTTATTTCCAATAGATGGGGGGAATCATTTGAGGTATCGGCAACACCCATACCCTAATTTAAAGTTGAAACCGTAGAAAGTGTCAAACCAGTATGAATTTTCAGTTCTGCAATTTCGGACTTTGTTAACAATTAAGAAAATGCAACTTGCATGTGGTCATAGCCTTGCTCATTATAAAATTGACACATCAATTCAAGGCTTGCATTAAACTCCACATGTATTTATATAATATGGTTGAATAATCATGTGTTAAGCGAATTTGGATGGAAATTTAACACTCTTAATACCCTATTAGTGACGTGAGATTACCTTGAGTGTCACTTAGTCAACCCTAATCTATCAAATCTTCCTTGTTTTTCAGAAAACACAGCCTCTAACATGTCCCCACCCCCCTTCAATTTTAAAATTATTTAATTACGTATTATCACCGAGACGTTTGTAGGATAAAAACATAAGCTAAATTGCCCCAAGTGGCTAGCTTTCGTAATAAGTATAGTTATTTAGAGTTTATCACTTAAATGATTTGATAATGATGAGATTAAGACGTGGATTTTTGTATTTAATTCATGTGTTACATTCTTAATGTATTCTTCATTGTACAGTATTATGCTTCTAATCGAATTTTCTTGTTTCTCTATTGTGTTTTTATTGCTAACAATTTGTAGGTTAAATTTATTTGTTCGTACTGTTATTACATGTCATTATATTAGTACGTAATATGTTCTCATTGATGAATGTTTATTCCAAAAATATAATCCACCTACTTTTATATATTTTTTCAATAATTAATATTTAAAAATTACACCAAGATCAAATTATTCATACAAATGTATACTAATTTAAAAATTACTTTTTAAAAGGAAAATGTAAAAGATTAGTGTAACAAAAATCCATTTTAAGAATGTTGGCAAGACAGTTGTTCCACGATGAGTGGGGCTATCATTGCTTTCCGTCTACTACAAGGATCCGTTAATCGAGATGTCAACTCTTCACCCAGTTGCTGGTCGCCACGTCATGGAATGAAGACATTCCCGTATATTCTAGTACACGTGGCCGACGGTGACGACAACTGTCTGTTAACTCAACACCCGCAACAAATGAGGTTACCCTCCCTAAAATTTTGGATGAAAATGAGACAGCCGCCGAATACATTTTGGAAAACTTTCAAGCATTTTGCTTTGTGGTCCCTTTTCTTTTGATAATTTCATTTTACCCTCACAAATTTCATTTCATTGATCGATTTCACTTTGGATCCATTGTTTTCAACATGGGCACTCTTTCTCGTCGATTAATATTTGATGATCAATTTATTTATTATACTGAAAATTATATTTATGAAATTAAATATTGAAAGCAAAATTTATATATTTATTACAATATATAGTTTTATGATTACAATTAAGTCATACTGAAAATATTATTTTATTTCTCAAATGTATTTTTTAATCGATGAAAATATTGCATAAAATAAAATATAATCAATGGTAATAAATATTCGTAGGAAACGTGTGAACAAGAGGTAATGAAAATATTTATGACCTAATTATTGCTCAAATTAATATGGAAAAAAATCTGATTTTGGTTGTCATAAATGCAAAATAACGAGTACCTGACAGGTTATTATCCGGTCTTATAAATACGAATTTTATTAAGTATAAATTAAGTTTTTCGAAGAATGAGATAACTTTGTAATAAACCATTAAACCTATTTAGCCAAATTTTCTAATACAGGCTTAGTTCATCAACAATCATGCATCATGCTTAAGCACAACTCATTCATGCATATATAAAAAAGAAGATTTTTGTTACAATAAATGTGTATCTTCCTCCATTACTTGGACACAAATCCAGATCTACCATTAATAAAGTTCAAAAGTTTCAAATTCAAAAAACAACAGTGAGTGGAGCCCACTGTTAAATACCTTTCTTGAAATTGATTTATCTTTCTTCCTCAATCCTTCTCTGCATTGTTTCCTGAATTCATTTCTATTGTTTTCCTTGCTTTTATTTATTAAATATCCTTGCTTTCTGTGGAGAGAAACAGAAAATCATTATGCTTGGGATTGGATTAGAGGTCATGATGCCCAAATCTTTGTTCTTTGGATTGCTTTAACAGTAAGTATTTGAATTTCTAACTCATTGTTTGCAAATTTGTTGCCTTCATCTTTGGGTTCATTGAATTGTTTTTAGTTTGGCTTAACTATCATTTTCCTTTTTGTATTGTTTAATTCTGTGCTGAAGCATTGGTAGCTTTGTTTATTTCGGAAAATTTTGAAACAGTTACTGGTTTTTGGAAATTCAGAAGGTGATGTTTTGAAGACTTCATCCATTTTCCAGATCAACCGGCTTTGAAAATCAATCCCTTTTCCTTCTTTTGTTTAAGATTGCAGTTCAGTTTTGGATGTTGGTATCATCGTTTTCTTCTTGTTCTAGTGTGTGTATATTTATTCACTTTTTTTTTTATAATTCTTGAAATTGTAGTATGTTGTCACTGTTTCCAATGAACAATGTTTGATCTGATACCGTGTTCTCTGTTTACTCTATTTTGTTTCATTGTATTTGATCAATAGTTTTCAGGTTTTGGACTCTGATTTTCTTTTTGATCAATAAACATGGATTTAGTGTAAGGATCATCACAATTCTTTGGTGGTTTTTTTAACTTGTTTGTTTCCTGAATTTCTGGGAATTTATCCCCACG